AGAGAGAGTCAGCTGTGTTTTGGTGATCTGATTTACAAAAATATTAAACTTACTAAATGCATCCCCTCGTACCTACTATATCTGTTCTATCGTACAGAGATAGATGTCACCCAGAAATATCAGTATTAGTCCATGATTACTTTAAATCATGGGATGTGTTTTAAAATAATTTCTTACAGCTGCACTTCTATCACCTTTTTGTATGGAGTAACTCACTGAGAGAAGGTGTGTTCACTTAATATCATCGGAGTTGTCAAAGCATATGTTGGTCAGAATTACTCTTGATTGCAGTGCTCTTGACTGGTGAACTGATTTCACTTTCAGCATCCTTTGGGCCGGATAAACTTGGCTAACTGCACTAATCATCAGATTGAACCTGCCAACAGAGAGTTCTGTGCCCGTCCCAACACTTTTGAACTAATAACTGTCCGACCTCAGAGAGAAGATGACCGAGAGACACTTGTCAGCCAATGCAGAGACACACTCTGTGTTACAAAGTGAGTGCATGAAATCATGGAGGTTGTGGGAGGGTTTTTTTTTTACCTCATGTGATAGTTCTAGTAATGTAGGAGCTTTACAACTTTGTCATAATGATGCAAAAGTCACTTAAATGCTGAGGGGTTTGGGTGGCATTTGAACCAGGTGGCTTGGTAGCCTTCCTAACTGCTTTCTAGAAGTGGGAATGCCAGGTGGCTTGGTAGCAGGATGGTGGAATGTTTGACTTAATTTTTAACCCTACTATTTCTTGTGGGCTTCTGTGGTTGATCAGCTTGACATGTGTCACAATAAATAATTGGAGGTGGAGAATAATCCACAGGGTTCCTTGCCTTCTAGGAACTGGCTGTCTGCTGATACTAAAGAAGAGCGTAACCTTTGGATGCAAAAGCTCAACCAAGTGCTCATTGACCTTCGCATGTGGCAGCCTGATGCCTGCTACAAACCTGCTGGAAAGCTTTAAACCTGGGAAAGGAACTACACAAGAAAAGAATTTAAATGAAATTGTGGAAAGTCCTCTGAGTCACTTATGCTTTAAGTTTGAGAGAGTATTTAACATTATACAGGACTATGTTATGCAGTATTTTTATTTCACTTAAAAAAATTTTTAAAACCTTCTTACTTCCTAATTTTGAGCATGGTAGGAAGCAATTAGCTGTTTCTCAATGTGCTAAATATTTATATAACTCCTTTTTTGGAAGTCTTCTAGCCAGGTGCATTCTCTTTTTTTAAACAACTAAATTATTGCAGGAAATCACACTTCAGGGCGGGAAGGGGGGCACTAGCTAGTGAAAGACAAGCTTTCCAGATAACTCAGCTCCCTGAAAGAAACAACAGTTCAAAATACTCTTAACAAGAATGCTGCTGAAGCACAAGATTCAATGTTGTAGCTTTTGTTGGGGTTCTTTTGTAATGATCAGGCATAGAAGTAACTAGTCAATTTTATTCTACAACATGCAGTATAGATAATTCTGCTTGTCCAGCATCCTTGTGGTCAGAACAAGACATGCACAACATATTCATACTACTTTTGCAATTTCTTATACAAACTAGTGTGGATAAGTGCATGGCATGTACACTATGTGATTTGCAGGTGTGGAATTAAGTATGCAGTACATTGCACTTTGATAGAAATGGAAGGTCTTGAATATTTTTGTTAGGACTTATATAAAAAAATCAGACAGAAAAATTTAGGTTTATGGCTGTATATGTCAGTATTTCCTGGGACTAGTGGTTTTTACAAGCTAGAATTCTCCATTTGAGAACCAGGAATAGGTTAATAGGTAGTAAAAGTGCCCTTTTTTCTTTTGTTTAATAATAAGATTTTACAAAGCTGCTGTGTACCAACTAATACTCCTCTGGCTGAAAGAATGGGTCTTCCTCCCCTTGACAGACATGTCCACAAATGCATATAAAAGCAGTACTTCAGACCCATCATGAAAATGGCAACATTCCTCAGTGGGAACTTGCAGTTTTCATGGCTTTTCGCTGAGTGTATTGAAATACCAGCTCATTACTTCACTAGGAATGCAGTAGTGGAAAACTTAAGATTGCTATTGCTGTTATATATTCACACTTGAAACACTAAATTCTGTTACCTTATACTGTTTTCATCCTGCCCCTTTTGTACTTGCTTTTAAATATTTTAAATTTTCTTTTCTGATCTCTTTAAATATTTCCAAACTATGTATTGAGATTTATTTTATTCATTTAAAATAAAAAGTAAAACCCTTCCTGCTTTTTTTCATAATGTCATCTATGCAATTTGAAATACTAATTTGTAGGCTGAAGAAAAGCTGGACTCCACACAGTGTTTAAGGAAGGATTCTATTCTGTACATGTATCCCAGAATTCCACTTGATAATGTGAAGCCTTGGACACAGCTAGCTGAATTTTGTAGTAGGAGGCCAGATTGTCCGTGTGCAGCAGCTCATCAAATATAAAGAGGAGACAGGTTTTTTTTTGACAGACATGGCAGCAGAATAACAACATGGACAGCGCAAGAGCAAATTTCAGCAGTGGATGTGTGGTAGGCTGTCGTCTTAAACTCCCCAAGTGAGTGTTAAAAACCATTAATTTTTGAATTATGAAATAAGTCCACGGAAAGGTGTTAAGAACAGAACTGGATGATATTCAAGGGAACACTTTTATTTAGGCTAATCGGACTATTATCCCTTGTAGAAACCAATCTGTGTTGGTTCATTGGCCAAGTAGAAGCTCTCTTCATAAAGGAAAAGGTAAAAAGTGCAACAGGTGGTGTTAAGTTAGAAAAGCTGACCTGTGTGGCGACTTCTGAGCACATGAGTGGTGAGCACATGGGCTGCTGCAGCCAGCAGAAACATGGGACACAAGCTTAGCAGGAAGCCTGTGTTTATGGATTTCCAGGCTGGCACTGCTGGGTGCTGCCTCCTCCCCTCCCATGTTCCTCTGCTCTTTTAAGGTTTTGTGGTGAAAGTTTGCAACAATGGTTACGTAGTTTTTTCATGTTTGGAGCAGATTCTTTGTGAAGAGGCCAGTCTGTGAATTCAAATAACTTCAGGTAGGTTTAGATGTTCTATGGCTCAAAAAGAGTTCTTGCTCTCTGATTTCAAGCAAAGCTTAAAGTTTTGTAAAAAGTGTTTGCTGAGTAACATCAAGATGGACCCAGCCAGTGACATAATTCCTTCTGTATTCATTCACATGCTCTGACTTTTCCCAAAACAGACCTTGACAGACCATTTCTTCTAGAACTTCATACTGCTAATAAGCTTTGAATTGCATGGAATTATAAACTTTCCAAGAGAAACTTTTTTTCCCCATTTCTCTTTTCCCCGTGCATTTTTCACCTTCAACCAATCTAAGCACCAGGAGACAGTTAACCTAATGGAGTAGACCAGAATTCATAGTTTGTCACTGCTTTAGCATAAATAAGCTTTTTCAGCAGTGTTTTTTAAATATAGGATATGTATTTTTAGAGTGGTATGGGTAAGTGATTGATGTTTGAGGGTGCAGATCTTCAGCTGTTTTTTGCATTTGAAATAATTGAGATGTAGTGGTTGTAAAAGCTGATGGCTTAATAGTCCCAAATTCATCTTTCTTTGATAAATAGTTAATGCATTAGCTACATATCAGGTTTCTGCATGCAGCTGTGTTTGGAGGTGCAGAGCTCACCTTGAGGCACAATGGCATGTACTTTGTGTTGTGTGCCTTCAGCCAGGGGCAAGCCCATTCCTTGGTGTCCTTCAGAGACCCTGTATCCAGCATGGAGCAGTTGTACTGGGCAAACCTTTGAGAGGGCTTTGCTCTGGGATTCAGCTACAGAGGTTTCAGGTTGTCCTTGAAAAGATGTTCTAATTTTATAAGAAACCTTTTTTCCCCAATGTTCAGAAATTCAGTAAATGCACAAGTGAAAAATTCTGTAAGAGAAAAATGTTTTCCTCTGGCCAATGTAGCTTATTTTAGTTGAGGAAATTTCAGTTTTACTACTTAGTAAAACTCCTAATTGGTGTTATTAAATCCCAACCTCAAATGAAATACAATAATTTGCAAAGAAATTGCCTTGAAAATTAGGTTCCAAACATGACTCCCTTCCCCCTTTTAATTGCTACACTTCTGTGTGTTGATGTAGAGAAAATAATCTGATATTCTGTAATTATTGCCTGTGCTGTACTTGGGCTGTAGTGAAAACGTGTGGATGTGCTTGTTTCTGTCCTTGTGTTGTATTTAATGAAAGATAAGAGTCCTGAAGAAGTAATACAAAAATAGGAGGTGCTTTACCTGGCCAGGGTACATGGAATGTTATGTTGTTTGAAGAGAATTTCTATGGGAAGCAAGGGGATTTCCTTGTAATGCTAAATAGTCTTCCCCAGGTCTGCCTCTAGAGTTGAAACTATTCCTTGGGAGACTGGATATTTTGGTAACATCTAAATGCCTTGAATGAGTTGGGGCCTTATTAACAAGTATCATTCAATTAAGGAATGTATTCCCTTCTGGTTTCCTAAAATGGTGACTTGAATATTTACTTAAGTGTTAGCAGTCATCCCAAAGGAATTTCTATCTTAATTTCTATCTTAATATCTTAATAAAAGACCCAGCATTGACTGTACCCTATAAAAAGGATCAGGATCTAGGAAAGCAGTAATACATGCTTCAATCAAAATAGTATTAGCCAAGTCATTCCCTGCCTGTTCAAAATGCTGAGTGGGTGCACATCCTACAGCCAGGCCCTATCCTTGGGTTTGGACCACAGCCCAAGAGCTGCCTCATGTGTGACAGCCTTGTGCAAGGGCTGTGCTCAGAACAAGGAGCAGAGCAACTCCACCTGAGCTTTGGGCTGTTGGGGTGTGTTTTAGTCATGTCATGTTAATGCTTTCTGTTTACTGGATCTTTTCCACCCATAATTAATGCCACTTAATGCTCTCTGGTCCCTCCATCATCAGTAAGGTTGCAAGTAGGGTAGAGCTGTCTCTGATTTTTAAATATTTATTTATTTTGCTAAGAGCATTGGATAAGCTGGTGAAAAAATACAGTAATTCTCCATCTTCGAGTGCCTATGAAGCAAGGGCTACCCAGTATTTTCAGTGATTCCCTTGCCTATAAAAGACATAGGACTTGGCATATTATTTTCCTTAGGAAGCAAAAAAAGCAGAGATACATTACAGGTTGAAAAAACAACCTGCTTTTTAAATACATGAAGTGTTGTCAACCTAATAACTTATTAATGGGGGAAGAGAACCTGTGCTCAGTCAGCCTGTGCTGATGCTGCCAGGCGCATCAAAATTGTAGTGCCTTGTTATTCCTGGCACACTTTAATAAGCAAATAGCAGCTAAATAATGTATTGACAGTCAAGGCAATTACATACACACAATTTATAGCAACATAATGAGTTTGGGGTTCCCCCCCTCTCCTTTTGGGATCAGATTAACTGTTGAAACACTGCAAACAGAAAACCTAGAAATGTTCTGCAGAAGGAAAAAAGAGTAGGTAGGGGTAGGAGTTTGCTGCATGTGGAAAAAAGAAGCACAGATTTTCAAACTGGAACAATAAATGGTCTAGCTGGCAGCTATCCTTTGATTTTTATTTTTGTAGCTCCACAGAAAAAGCATAGCCTACTTGTGCAGGTGAGATACAAACTGAAAATAATGCTCTTGTGTTATGTCCACTGCTACTGGCTCTGATAACTTCCTCTCCACCTTTTTTTGTGTGTGTCTTTAATCACCTTGACTCGTGGAAGTGCCGTCACCAATTGCGTGAGGGTTCCAGCAGTTCGGAAGTCAGTGTCCACCTTGATCTTTGAATATGGCTTCAATCTGATCATTGAATGGATTCTCCTTGCCAAGCACTTGAGGCCACTCGTGTAGTGCCTTCTGCCAGGTAATGCCTGTTCCAAGGGCTGCAGCAATCTGCAAACCACAAATGCTATCAATTTCTTGTGCCTCTATAATGCCAGAGTTTAGAAGAACCCACCATAAGGCAGACTGCCCAGTATAACCATGTGATGGACTGTAACCTCTAACCAACGGAAATACCTCATTCCAGAGGCTTGAGCAGGACTAAATCCTTCTGAAAAAGTAAAAATAGGGTGAGGGCCATATATCTGCAACTCCCTGACCTGTCATTTGTCTAATAATGATAGTCTGTCTCCAACCATTTCCAGATGCCTATGGTGTCTAGTCCATAAACTGCTATTTAAAAGCCCTGAAGTCTGATTTTTTTTTTTTTTTTTCCTCCAGTGAAACATTTTGAAAGTATGTCAAAAGCACCACCTGGGTAAAATGCATAAAACTCTTGCAAGTCCAAAGGAATTCATGCTCCCAAATGCCTTTGGTACTTCTAATAAATGTTCTGTGTGCTCTCCTGGGAGGAAACCACAGGTGTTGAGGAAAGAGAGGCCCAATTATTTCTAGTTTCATAACTAACTGTGTCTGATGCTTTAAGTTTGCACCTGCTACTGGGTTGTCTTTAGAGTTCTTTTCCCATGAGATCTGCAGAAATGATAGAATAGCTTTTCTCCTCAATATCAGTCCCTCCAGCTTTCACAGAGGTTTTTGCCCTAGAAGTTATATACCAAAGAGAAATATTATCTGCTGTATTGCCAGGGTGAAAAACATCAGCAGTAGCAGAAAGGGACAGCGAGAAAAGCCTGAGTCTCCCTTGTCCAAGTTTTTGCACCCCTCTAAGGCATTTTTATTGTACTCCTGACCTGCAGTAATATTTGGCCTATATGGGAACTTTATTTTCAACCCAAACTTTTCAACACACTGATATTGATTGCAGCTATGAGGTTTAAGTAAGGCTAACAAAGCCTTCTTTTTTTTAAGGGCCAGGGTGGTTTTATGAAATCAAACTATTTGAGTACTGTTGTTTTGGAGTTTGGGAAGATACTGGAGACTTTGGGGAATTTTTATGTGCTACTTTTTTAATCCTGTGCTTTAAAAGAAGCTCTAATGATGGGCTGGAAGACAGAAATCTTTCTTTAAGGGCTTATGTACAAAGAGTAACATTTGTGGGGTGGAGGCTCTTAGACTCTGGTCTCTCAAAGTCTTCTTAATCTAATGAAGGAATTGGGGCACGGAAGAGGGATTGTGGAGATTTGTTCATTAGAGGGTTTTCTCCTGGTTGCAGTCTCTATTATGACTAAATATTGTTCTGGGACACTCTATGGCAACCAGGGGACTGAGACCAGTCCCTGTCAGAATGGTCCATTCTGGCATGGTGGTCTCCAAACCTCCTTCACAAACCTCCCTAAGGCTCCCATGTGGTTTTTTTTAGCAGGAAAGGTGGGGTTGCTTAATTGGTTGGGTGGCTGAGTGGTTTAAAAATCCTTACTGTCTTTGCATGGTACATCCTTTGCAGAGGTATCACTGGAGGTATGCTCTACAGTGTTCAGACTAATGCTGACTCTAATTTAAAGTATGTGTGCTTAGACTGCCCAAAATTGAATTAAGTTCTGCGCATAGATAATTTCTTGACATCCTGATGATTTCAATAATTAATTCTGGGTGAGTAATTTAGCATAGAGAAGGGTTTGTGACTCTGGAAATCACTTTCTTGCAGGTCTTTTTTAAATTCCGGAGTTCTTGTACTTTGAGACATGGTATATTTTTTATAAGCTTTGCAAATTTTTGTTGTTGGTGTTGTTGTTGTGAAGATTGCATCCCCTAAGCAAGTTTTTAAAAGGAAGTATTACCCATTCCTCACAGAGCTCTGGGTGACTGCAACTGGGAGGCAGCTGTGATTTTTCAGCAGCTTCTGGCTATCTGTTTTCCCCTTCTGCACCAAACAGGTGATAGGCATGATTCTCAGCCAAGTGTAAATACCCAACTCATCTGATATGCGTCACTTCAGCTTTTCCACTTTATTTCTGGCTGGAACGTGCTTTGCTATGACTTAAGGAAGAAAAAGGGAGAAGCTAATCACACTCAAGCTGTGCTTTCCTGCCTGTACATAAACATTAAGAATCTTCCAAGCGTCTCTGGTTCCAGTTTGTGATGCTCAGGGCTTTTGCTTTCTCCCTGGAAACATCATAAAAGCAAGAAATGAAGCTGTTTGTGCAGGATCCTGTTGAAATGCATGGCCCTGCCATCCAAACAAAGCAATCGACTGTTCTAGAGGGAAGTGGTGTCCTTGAAGCCATCTGGCATTCACAAGGATGTGCAGTGAAATTTTGTAGTAAGGAGGAGATGCTGGAGAAAATCCCTCGGCTCCCTCTATAGTCACTGGGAAGAGAAAGTCAGATTTTTTTCAAGGAAAACCAAGCCAAACTTTGGGGAATGGTGTCTCAAAAACAGCTCTAGAGGGATCTCAGGAGGACTGAGTGAATCATTTTGCTTTTGGGTATTGAAAGTAAATAGTGTGAATTTCCTCCACCTCCATCCTGAGCTGCGTGTTTTCGAGAAAACTTTATGGAGGTAAATTTTAGCTTTGAAACTTTACTGAAATGCAGTTATGCCAATTATGAGTGTTTTGTTTGCTCCCTCCTGTTTTGCAACTTAAAAAAAAAAAAAAAACATGCAGGAAAATCCTTTTCCCACAATAAATTTAGAGGAAGAGAATGTGGCTCAACAAATCAGTACTTGGTGTTCATCCCATATTTCACGATTTTTTCATATAAAATATTGCCTGGAGAGGGGACCATGGGGGCTAGTTTATTCCTGCCTGAGTGCCTAACCTAGCCTTTCTCCAGTGCATGGAAAACTGCGCTGGCTCTTATGGGACAGGGCAAGTGTGGCTTTTTTCCTTATTTTTCCTTCTCCTTGCAAGGTATGCAAGCTTAGAAAGGTTCAATTCCCTCCCACATCTCTCCAGAATGTTTGGAGGACGTCTGGACTCCTGGATATATGTGCTGACACCTGCTTCTGCCATGTTTATACAAGCAGACAACTTTTTTTTTTTTTTTTTTTAATTAAAGACACAGTGGATAAACAGCAGGTGAAATTCACGGGCTGACAACAGACACCAGCTTATCCTGCCCATTGCTGAACCACAATGATTTGGGATCACCTAGTGATCACAACTTGCCAGCTCAGCCGTGGGTTGAAAGGGGCACAGAGAGTGTTTCCTTCATCCCAAACTTCAAAATTTCTTTGCATTGAAGGCAAGAGCTAAGGTGTTTATGCTTTCCTTGGAGTGCTTCTCAGTCTAAAAATTGGGAAATGTTTGTCATGCTTCGATATCTACAGAGGAAAAATTCAGCAGAAATGTGCTGGCTCGGTATCTTATCTGTTGTATTTATCAAGCTGCCTGTGAGGCATGGGGAATAGCTGCAGGGATGGAAGCAAGAGCCTCTGTTCACTTGACAACTGCATGGAATCAATCCTCTCCTGCTAGGCAGCTCTGTGTGCTACAAAAACCATACCTGGCCAGAGGCATTCATGTCAGGAGAAAGTAAAACTTTAAATAAAACTTGTATGAGGATTGAGTGAATTGTTTATCTTCCTTAAGCATACTCTAAAACAGCAGTCTCTGCTCACTCTTCCCCTTCTATTTATGAAGAGGGTTACTCTTTTGGGGCAGAGTGCTACATCTCAGTCCAAATAGTGGTATGTTGATAACAGACTTCTCTAACAGGAAAAGAAAAATGGATTTACAATGGTGGATGTTTGGATAAGGCTAATTAATAAAACCTACGAGGACAATAACTCACTTGAAGCGAGGCATATCTACAGCTGGCACCTTGACTGTAAGGGACGATGTACCTATAAAAGCATTAACGTCATGCTAGCAGCAGGAGGGAGAGATCATAACCACTGCAGGATGCCAGGTCCAGAGGGAGTGAAATATGGCAGTGCTTGACTGCATCCTGTAGCTCAGCACTCTGGGGGCTGCAAGCAGGTTTGCAGCTGCCCTTCAATGTCCTTTTGTAATTTTCTTGTGGCTTGGCGAGGATCCTGTTAGATAGTTGCTGCCTTCACTCTGTGCTACCTTGCTGGTGGGATACAGGATGTGGGCAGGAGGTTGGATGAAAAGCTGTGATATGACAAGCCTGACTCCCACTGTGGGCTGGTGCTGGGGGTTATAAGAAACCTCAGGCCAGCCTTAGGCCAGGGAAAGACAGGAAAATAATGCAAAGAAAATAATGCAAAAGTTTCCATTGCACTCCAGACTTTGCATTGCAGTTTCCCCAGATGGCAGGGTTGGGAATGGGGTTTGTTTCATCACTGTTTTTACTCTCATTTCATTTGCCAGGTTTTCTCTAATTGCTTCCTTGCAAAAGGCCGGCAGCAAAAATCAAGGCACGCTTTCTCCACATCCCCAGGCTGTGAGTTCATACTTTCATGCATCTGTCTCCTGGTACTTGTAAAGTAGACAGGCAGGAATTTCTGCGATGTAGGAGTCCCTCCTTGAACAGGAAGATCTTGTAATTTGGCAAAGCTAAGCAAGGCACTGTATGGCCCCGAGTGACTAACATGAATGTAAAAGATAGCACCTAAAGCATCTATTTTCCCTTTGGACTTCCCCCTGCAGGTCTCCCCTAGCTTAATTGACAGAACAGTCAATGGAGAAGCTGCTGAAATCCTGGAATCCATCAGTGCTTGCAACTCACTCCCGTGGAAGTGCTTCTCCACTGACTGCTCTTTCCCAGTGTGGAAAGCAGCATCACATTGGGTCATATGGAGGTGGGGTTGTTGGAGTCAACACATGCAGGGCATTATCCCACCACATAAAACTGGCCCATAAAATCCCCCCATGATTCTGAGCAGGGGCAGCTACCAAGTGGTTGGGCAGTGTGGTGGGGTTTGCTTGCAAAGGAGACTGCTGCTTTGCTCTGCACATGTGCTTGACACCTTCAGGTAGTGTATAGAAAACCAACTGACTTTGTTTGCAGCTGACTACAGAACATGGTCTCTCCATGTGTTTTTGTCGGAAAAAAACTAATTTGAAGTGAGCATGGTGGGAACCAGGCAACCTCTTGCTAGATTATCAAACCCAAGCAAGGACTTACAGTGGAGCAGCTGCTTTTCCTTCCCTTTTGTTTATTTCTGTAATAAACAGACTGTAAACCTTCTCCTGCAACCTGTCCTCGGAGGCCAAGCAAGCAAGTGAAAAAGTAATAAGATGTAGCTGCTGAGCAGAAGCAATTTAAATACATAACTTCAAAAAGAATCTTTGTTCCAGACTGTGACAGGCAAACCTTCAGCCTCAGACCTGCAGGGCTGGAGGGGGCCTGTCTGGTTTCTGCAGTGCTACCTTACTGTCCTGGTTTTTTGGGCAGGCAGCTGGCCAGCCTAAGTGGCAAGGATCAGTTTTTGTGCATTAAGACCTGTTTGGCCACGATACTGGTTGGTGAGGGAAAGAGGCAGAAGACTTTGCAGGAGTCAGAGCAGTGTGCAGCCATCAGAAATATCAGAGATATCAGCTCTGGGGCTACAGCCATCATTTAGATTGGCCAAAGAAGGCACCCTGGCTTGTATCAGCAATAGTGTGACCAGCAGGACCAGGGCAGTGATTGTCCTCCTGTACTCAGCACTTGTGGGGCTGCACCTCAAATCCAGTAGTCAGTTTTGGGCTCTTCTTAACAAGAAAGACATTGAGGTGCTGGAGTTTGTCCAGAGAAGAGCAACAGAGCTGGGGAAGGGTTTGGAGAATGAGTTATTGATGAGCAGCTGAGGGAACAGAAGTTTTTTAGCCTGGAGAAAAGGAGGCTGAGGGGAGTGCTCTCTGCAACCTAAAAAGATGTTGTGATGAGCTGGGGGGTGGTTTCTTCTCCCATGAAACAATTAATAGGACATAAGAAAATAGCCTCAAACTGCACGGGAGAGGGGTGTTAGGTTGGATATCAGAAAAAGTTATTCCAGGGAAAGGGTTGCCGAGCACTGGAACAGACTGCCACGGGAAGTGTGCCCTACTATCCCTGGAGGTATTTAACATGTGCTGCTTTGGGACAGAGTTTACTGGTGGACCTGGCAGTGTTAGGTTAATGGCTGGCCTCCATGATCTTAGAGGTCTTTCCAACCTAAGCGATTCTATGACTTTCTCTCCTTTAAAGTAGACAGATTCCCCACATCTGCATCCCTGTGACATGACAGCTGGATGCCTGGGGCAGCAATAGTCACCGGAATCCCACATCCCACATGCTCCCACATCCCACCTGCTCCCGCCCATCTCCTGGGGCCGGGTTTTTACCTGGCTGGGGTGGAAGCCATCGACTGGTTCGATCAGCTGCCAGGGCTCACCTCCCATCTTGTGCCACTCCTCGGCCGCTGCAAAGAGGGCAAGCAGAGGGGTTTGTCACCTGTGAGCTCGGAGACCCCCGCCCAGCGACACACCCCGCTCCTCCTCAAAGCATCGCTGGTATTTTTAGGCACACGACAGCTCTATGTGAAGATTATGATAATTCACATAGAGTTGTCAGAGCCTATAGTATAATCCCCTCTCCTTGGGGCAGTATTTAAGCCTTTATTGTTATTTTTTTTTTCCTCTGCGATATTTATGCAAGGAAGTGCTTTGAACATAAATGATTGTAAAACAATTCACTTTCTCTCACAACTAAGATGGATGCTGTAGCAAGTAAAGCTGTAAATTATTTAATACTGATTTAATACTTTTGCATTTCCCATGTTAGTTGCATCTTCAGCAGTGCAAAAGAAAAAGTAGAGATAAAGAAAACAGTGCTTTTTAGAGAAAGAGATGGTAACAGAATATTCACATGGGCTGAAGTCTGCATGAACAGGCTGTCATTTTTGGTTACTTATCTTCCAAGAGGTCTTTTTCAACTCCAACAAAATAACCTTTTGAATTACATAAGCGTGACATTCAATGCAAATGATGCTGTGCTGTAAGCCCTGGAGCCATTAGAGAAGTAAAAAGCTTTCTCTCTTCAAAAAGGCTGCAGAGTGATCAAACATGGGACTAGTGGATATGGCATTAACAGAGTGTAAATTCAATAATTCCTTTCATAATGACAGATTAAGAATTCTTAATAGCATTATGCAAGCATCCTGTCAGGAGGAAAATGTTCTCCATTCAAGCGCCACAGTTTGATCTAGGCTCACAGCTGGTTTTTGGACCCTGGCTATTGTGTCAAAAAGTGATGTCTGGGTCCCCATGCTAACTCTAATTCACACAAAGGTGATATTCCTGCTTTGACTGTAGAAACCCACTTGTGATGCTTCAGACAGTGCCCAAAGTAACCTGTTTGAAGACGTGGGGCTTGTAGGTTTGTTTCAAATTTGCAGTATGTTGAGCATAACACATATTTACCTCAGATTCCACCATGCAGTGCACATACAGATGCACAGTGAGCTTACCCAACCCCTTCTATATGGTATTGTACATGGAGTACAAGGCTGTGTACTGTGTTTTAGTACATTTGTAGTTAATCTGTAGAGAGACTACTGTTCCAGCGCCAGAAACAGCAGAGGAGGAAGTAAGATATGTTCAAGATAGGTCAATTTATACTATTATACCTGACCTCCAAAAATGCTAGAGCAGTCGAGCAAATATCCACCAGCTGGATATGTCCAGAGCTTGTCTTAGAAATGCTTGTTGCCTTGGCTAGACTAGATGACAGCTTGCTCCCACCCATGTCAAGGAAAATGCATAAAAAGCAACTCCTATCCCCCTCTTTATTGCACTGCTTCATAAAGGAACCACAAATTTCTTTAGTCAAGGTCAACATGTGAGCTTGAGTGTCCACCTAAATGTAGAATAAATGCTAATATACTCAAATTTTACTTGGAGAAAACTGAGAGCTGCTATGTACACATATATGCCCAAGCCAGCCTGAAATCTATGTACTCAGTGTGTAACCACTGCTAAATATTTGATGTCTGGAGAGTTTAGGGGAGGATTTGCTGCTTCCTTCAGAAAGAGACCAGAAAAGTAGGTCAGCAGCCTTAGCTGGCTTTTGAGCACACTTGCGATCTGACAGCTTTCCTGATGGCAAGCCCGAATCCTTGGCTCCAGGGCTGCGGGAAATTTTGCAAAGTGTCTTTCAAAGCTGATGTTTGTATATGCATGTGTGATTTTGTTTACTTCATTTATTTAACACGACGTAATCAAGAACAGCAAATTATATTAAGATGTTTCCTTTTGTGAAAGCAAATAAATTAACTAAAGTTAGTAATTTAACTTATTAAAGTAATTTGCCTACCCAGCAGGTAGTTCATTCCAAATCCTAATGACTTGTTAAATATTAAGTAGCTGAGGCAAAAGCCACCAGGAGACTTGGACACCCTTGAAACTCTGTGCTACGAGAACGAACTTGACAGTGGAGCCCACCTCTCCAACAGAAACTTTTGGACAGAAAGACTGCTGCCTCTCCCATCCTCACTTCTTTACCTCCTCCTCCTCCATATGGTCTTCATGAGACCCAGAACCAGCTTCCTGAATTGGGTCATGTAGGATAAAATAAGTTTGTGAATTTTGATGGAATTTGGCTGTAAAAGGAGATTTTTTTTTTTTAGTAGAGCCTGCTTTGTTCTGTTCCCGGGTCACATCTCACAGTAACCATTTTGGGGAATACACCTCTCATGGGGGCACTGGCACTGTGCCAGTGTCAACCCATGACAGGTGGCTTTGTGCTTTCAAGGACAGCTAAGCACTGATGGGGAGAAGCATTAGAGAAGTACACTTTAAAGCATTGACAGGGCGCTTCTGTCCCTTTGTGGCTTTGGATTTACATGTCTGCATGCTGAGACTTAAAATATAGTCCCCAGAAAAAATTTGTAAATAAGGACTACACGGAACTACCTCTCTATGTGAACATAAAAACAAGAAAATGCAGATCAAGCTTTTTTCCTAACTATTATATACTCTTTTTTGAATGTAAACATTCAGGCTATCTGGGAGAGGCCCCAAGGTGGTGAGGGCTGGAGCTCCTGCCCCATGAACGGAGGCTGAGGAGCAGTGATGGTCCATTCCAGGGATGAGCCTGTGGGAAGACAATGTGGACAGGGCCAGTCTCTTCACAGCAGTGCACACTGGGAGAGGGAGAGACAAGTTGTAACATGGGAGATTCAGGCTGGATATAGAAATAAAAAGCTGTTTTCCTACTTCCCCTTCACTGTCTAACTACTTGTAATTTGTCGCCCAACTCATTCACTCATCTCATGCTGATCCTCATTTTTAAAAAGAAGGAGTGTGTTTCTCCTTGTGATGAGTCTGTGCTGATGCTGGGTGTTGCCTCAAGCTGGACCTTGTCCATCTTACAAGGCAAGCAGAGCTGATTCAGGGATTCAGGAACAGGTATTGGTCCCCAGCCCCACAGGGACACTGTCTGCTCATGCTCATGCATAACGACAAAAGTTTCCTGGGTGTTTTAATTTATTTTTAAATGTCAGTTTCAGAAGAAAGTGATTTAGGTAATGCGCTTACCTAATGTCACTAAAGATCACAGAAGGACAAGTTTTGTAAGCTCTTCAAGTCAAAAGTTACAGTAGTATGTAGGTGTTTAAAGAAACATAGGGAAAGATGCCAGTTATTCCTGGGATAGGTGCTTCTACTTTTGGGAAGACTGAGAGGGTGGCTGTGTTATTGAGGCAGGGAAATGGCTGATGAAAGGTCTCATTCCCAAAGCACTGCTCAGCCCAGAGGAGGCAGCATGAAGCCCAGTCAGTAATGAAGTAAACTACATCTCATGAAGACCACTTTGACCACTGCAGGTATACACCTCCAGCCTAGATGACCGGTTACAAGAGCAATGTTCAGAAATAAAACCAAATCTTATGGACCAATATGGTCATCTATTGTCCTTGTCACTGTGATACCCAAGAGGAAGTGGCCAGTGTGCTGTGCATCACTGGGGTGGAGGGTGCTGGCAGCTGGGACCAGCAGGAGGCTGTAGTTCACAAGCCTCCTGGGATTGTGTCTCAGGAAAAGGGATTTTTGTCTCAGGAAAAGTGCCTGGTTACCCCAACCATGGAAGCCAGGAGAAGCTGGCATTAAGGAGACCTCCTTGGCCACAGCCCTGACAGCAGGGTCACCTAGGCTCACTGACAGCACTGCCCTTCTCGTGGTACAGAGCCAAAATATGAGAAGTGTATCAACTGGCCAGGACTTGAGTAAATGCTTTGTGAGAAAGACAGGGTAAAAAACAACTTACTTTGTCTCAGTGGGAAATCCATGTAGAAAATATCAAAGTTGGCAAATTTCTCAGATCTTGCTATTTCTTTCAGGACATTGGAAAGTTGTAATGCTCTCTGTAAAAATCAAATGATTTAATGACTGTTCATTGCTATTCGTATTGCTATGCATGGATTCAGCTTTTGTCACTGATGTGCAGGCAGGAATTTGAAAGCTAATGCTGCACTTTCTTCAGGAAGACAGGAGGTGAAATGAGGCTCTTCATTGGAACATGGACTTGCATGACCACTACCAGCCTTTGGGCTACCCAGTTCATCCTCACAGACTGCACTGAGGCCTCAGCTGATTTTGTAAGTTTGTTACAGCATGTGCTTATTTCTCTGGACACCTCTTTAGTAGTGCCCCTACACTTATATAAATATTCTAAGTATCTCACTTTTGGAGCTCTTTTTTAAAGAAATGCAAAACTATTCTACAAGAGAAATGTCCTCTTTTCCTATTATCCTTGCCACTACTAAGATGGGGGTGATAATGCTTATCTATGCAGACCAAATTCCACCTTCACTTTCAGAAGAGTAAATTACCACCATTGAGCGTCTGCCTGATACATCCAGTGTAATTTCTGCAGCCATAACAGAGATCAGGATCTCCTAAATATTTAAATTGTGCAGTTTGGATAATAACATAGACAATTAGTTTCAGACAGGGGCTCAGAATGATTAATTCATACCCTGCAGACATATGCATTGTTCATGGACAGAAGTTACATGTACTCTATGTTCTGTATTGTTGGTATGAATTATAAACTGTAATCTTGCAAAGGTTTAGGAATGTGCTTAATGGCCTCCTCTGAAGTCAAGAGGGACGGGGCATGAAATCAAATACACATGTAAGTTTTGGTGAAATTAAGGTCATATTTTGTTGTTTAGTGAATGCAAACATTAATACAACCATACATAGAGATGACACCTTTGATAATATTTGGTTACTGACTACTTTTTCATGGCTGCAGGATTAAAAATCAGCTTGTGCCATAAGAAAATAAGTGGCTGTTTTTACATATCATTCACTTCTGCAGCCAGATTTTTAGGGCGAGTTTTAAGACATTTCTGTTCTGTCCGTTCCCATTCCTGCACTTAGCTGGATGCTCCCTGGTCACACCATCTGGTGATTAAGTCCACAGAAATGTGTCTGAGGAAGATTAGCACAAATCCCAAATGAAAACAGGGTAAGGCTCTTGCTCTCAGAACCTGATCCTACAGCCAGAAAAATCTATGCAGCTGGCTTGTCATACCAACAGCTCACTTGATTCAAAAGCCCTTCCTTTCTTATCAGGCACATTTTCTTCTTAAGGAACATGAACCTGAACAGTTCTGTCTCAGGAAGATCACATCCCTTGAGCATAAATTTGGATAGCTGAGAGGTTGTAACAGCAATACCTTTACAAATCCCTTAACTTAAGCATGCTGCCTCCCAGGGCCTGAGAGACATTTGAAAGAATAAGCATGGATGTTTCCACAACTGCTCCTCACCTTTGGAAGAAAAAAAACTGTGCTGACATCTTGCCTTTGCAGTAATTGGGCTTCTCTCCTCAGACACAGGGCAGAGTGTCTGAGCACTGGGGTGATCCCACTGCAGCCCCATTAAGACTTACCTCCGAGGTCAGATTCCTCAGGGTCTCATTGGGGGTCAGCCAGCCGCTGCAGGGGCTCACCTGGGCAGGCACGAGGAAAGGGGATTTAGCAGCAGACCAAGATGAAAGGGGTCTCCTAAGGTATATCAGCAGACCTTACCTGGAGGCAGTCGAGGAAAGAGTAGAGTTGACTGTACGTGACATCCTTGTTCAGTTGTCCTGCAAAGCACAGAGAGCCAAACATTGTGACCAAATGTGACTTCATTCTGCACGTCTGTGCATTCCCGTGCCTTACACCCCTGGGTGGGAAGAGGCACCCCCAGAGCCTCACCACACCGTCTACCCCCAGGGTACCCTCCCACCACCAGAGCTGAGGTGGCAGCATCAAGGCATCCTTCCTGCTAAGGTGCCCGTGTCCCCACAGTGTGCAGAGCCCAACACCTGCTTTTCCTGCATCCCTCTCCTGCTGTCTCACGTGTGGGGTTAGTCATCACAGCCTGTGCCAGCCTCCTAAGTGCATGACTGATATTTTCCCATTAACCTGTCTCTCACCCGCCAAAGAAATGCAGGGTTTGCAAAGCTGAGCTGAGGGGTGGGTGCCTGTATACACTCTGAGTTTTGCATTTACTTCGTAGAGGTTAGCCTTAAAAGGGAGAAACAATTTTGCTGTCATCGAGAGAAGCGGATATGCTTGTGTGGGTGAGGAAATTCGAGCACCAAGTCAAGAACCCAGCTAACATTCTGTAAAATTCACTGTGCTGTGCAATAGCCTGGCTTGCTGAGAAAATGATCCATTTTCTCAATCTTTTTGCTTCTTGGGTAACTACAACTAAGATGAGAATTAAATGGCCACATTTTTTTGTATTAGTTTTATTATTGTTTGTAGTACACTGATCATCCCATCAGGCTTTGATACTTTTGCAGTACTGAAATAGGAGTTTCTTATTGTTGTTTTTAGGAACTGCAAAGTATAATCTCTCCCAAGTGAAATGGGCTTCTCAGGTTGCTTTGCAGTGGCTCCCTGATACAGATGTGTTTCCTGCCTTTCACACAGCTGCCCATCACCCAGCAGCAGTTCCAGCTGCCCAGAAAGCAAAAGGTGGGGAGTTCAAAGATCTAGGAACACTTCTGGCTACTTGGATGTTCCAGATTCCTGTAGCTTGGAGCACCAGGCCCTGGGATGAGCTGTTGTGGGGACCAGGAATTTGGCAGAAGGACAGACTGATGTCTGGTCATGGCTGAATGGCAGCCAAATGGGGAAAACTGCTCACAGCCTGTTGGAGGATGTGCCAGAAGGGATCCCTTGCTGCAAAACGTGTTGCTTAGGATTAATTGGGTCCCTCCAAGGCAAATCAGCCCCTCTGAAAATTTTCCAACTGATGCTATAGTTAATCACTCCTGATTTGGCTACGGGTTGTCTGTGATAATTAGATACCTAGTCAGAGGAACTGTTGCTGTGATAAACATGCACTCAAGGGAAGAAAAATTAATTATGACAGGTTTCCCCTGCCTTGAAAGGGGTAAGATTTTTCTCTTTTTCTTTTTTTTTCTTAATTTTTTAAAAATTGGTACTAGTATAGTGGTTATGAGAGAAAAATATAGGAATAGAAATGGGAAAGATGTGAGCCCATTGGTAATTACTAGGGGATCTTGGGGGAACCACAACACAGCTGCAAGCTGTGTTACCCAGTGGTTGCCAAAATCATCTGAAGTTTTAATCTACCATTTTAATGATGTGATTTAGCTTCTCTCTCTCTTTGCTGGTGAGAACTATTATGACAACCACTTCCTGCTTCTCAGATGCAAAAAAGATTATTTTACTCCAATACAAGTAAGTTCATGCTTTTGGTCTAGAAAGCCAAGGAGTGAGTGGTCTGTTAATGGTCAGAGGTACTGCGCCATTCACATTCTGAGATGACAGGATCCCAAAGGTAGCCTCCAAATCTCTGAAAAAAAATGCCCAAAGCACTTTACACTCTGAGGGAATGTCCCAAAACATGCCTGCACACAGTATGAGGTTTCAATCATCACACATAGCAAGTGTAGGAGGTGTCAGGCACCCAGTGCTGGCAGAAAATGTATTTCTCTAATATAAAAAAAGTCTTTTGGAACCCTCTGACTTAATCTTTTGCCTTGGTCCACATACAGTTTTACCACAACATCCACCAGTCAGTGAGTGTAAATCAAATGCCCATCATCACCTGTAACAAAAATCAGGATGAAGTGCAGGCAGGCTAGCCACGATTTTGGGCCAAGACTGCAGTAGAACAGCTTGTTTAGACCACCAAAACATGTGTTGAGCCTGGTTTGGAGCAGGGTGGGTATGGCTTGTGAGAACCAGGCAGAATAAGGGTCTAACCTCTCCTGCACTGGGAATGGTAAGAGCTGTTGTTCCTACTTCTGCAGCACAGCCAATATCTGCCTCATATTTCTCAGATCTCCTCCACTCTGTCAGGTTTGCTTGAAGTCATCGATAGATTCATAGATTTTTTTTAGGGAGAGAAGATAACATGAATGGGCGGATGACCAGGAGGAACCCCACAACACCTCAAATTTACCTAGAGGATGGTATCTGTCATGCAGGTTATCCCAGAGGAAGCGACCATCCACCAAGCCTGTCAAAATCACATGGCTGCCATTTGGAAGATGGGAGTCCAGGTATCGCAGAGCTTGCACCACATTGGAGAGCATTTCTTTGGGTGTGGTCATGTGGGCCAGTGTGTCACGTTCCCTACAGGAGAGGATGCCAATAGGACATTGTGTCAGGAATACTGTGTCCCCAGAAGGGCACCTGAAACTCATTTTCTCTGTCTGCTGCTCTTCCACATTAAGTCAGCTGAATAAAACATTAGAAAAATGCTGTGATGTCTCTCACTTGTCATTGCCAAAATCAGACGTGATATAAATCCTCCCTCCCTCGGCGTACCCCATCTCTCTGCTAAAAACAGACTAATCAATCCCTTTTTTATAGAGTAGACTCCTGTTGTGGGTTAACATCAGCAGGCAGCTAAACATCACACAGCTGCTCACCTGCTTTCCTTCCTCCACTTCCTCCCCAGTGAGACAGGGGAAGAAGAGAGAGTAAAAGCAAGAAAACTTGGAGGTCAAGGTAAAAAACCAAACCAAAACAGTTATTGTTCAATAAGTGAAGAAGAAGTAGAAGAAGAGATAAAGCAGGCAAAGAAGTAATGCAAAACCAATCCCTCATCACAGCTGGGTGAAAGTAGGACTTCCTTCCCCATGGGTTCTTGTGCATACCTTACCTTCAGCATGTGCTTTGATTACACAAGGTAGGAATATCTAAGGTAGCTTTGTCTCTCACATGTCATACACTTCTAGCTACTGCTCTCCAGGAGGGCAGGAGAGAGGTCTGGACAAACGTGTGAGCCTGGAGAGAGGTGATACCTAAGATTAAAATAGACCATTGGGGTACAGGAGCTGTGTCAGTGTACCACATGGACTGAATGCCCACATTTTGTGACTCATTGTCAGGCGTGGACCTCTTCAATCCAGATTCCCCAGCTCAGGCTTATGCTTCCTCTCTTTTATTTAGCTGTAAATGCTGCAGGAGTGTGAGGGGAAATTAAATCCTAAAGTTGAAATACATTTCAATTTATATAAGAAAAACAAACAAGCAGAACCACCCCAGGCTGCCTGGAGAACACTGCTCTAGTTATGTTATTATAGCAACCACTTTATTACAGAAAAAGCATTCACGCAGTCTCCCACCTGAGAGCTATTGCTGTGCTCTACATGGTGCACGTGTCCATAGCAGGGGCTGACAGCAAGGGGGGAACACAGCCCTGAGAAGGCTGTCTCATCCCATGAAGAGAGGATCCAGCCACCTTGGGAAGCAGGGTCTTGTGACAGTTTTCCTTCTGTCTTGGTGGTGTGGCCCAGCTGAACAAGGTGTTCAGAAAGAAAGGTCAGGAAGAAAGACAGGGGAGGTCCTTCCAAGGGAGAAGGTTGCACTAATGACCACCTGTCACATTCACGTTTTCTGAAAAATCCCTCACCCAGGATTTTTCTCCTGGGAAGCTGAGAAGCCTCAGAGAAAAAGGAAATCAATATTATCTCATTTGCTTCTCCTGTGTTTTGCTCCTTTGGAATGTGTTTGGAGATTGTTTACCAACAGGTGATTGTTTCATTGGTTTCTGCTGTGAATTATTTTGACTCATTGGCCAACCAGTGCCAAGTTGTGTCAGGACTCTGGAGAGAGTAAAGAGTTTTCATTATTATCTTTCTAGCCTTCTGTAAGTATCCTTTCTGTATTCTTTAGTATAGTGTAGTTTAGTGTAGTATTCTTTAATATAATACAGTATCTTAAAATAATAAATTAGCCTTCTGAGAACATGGAGTCAGATTCATCATTCCTTCCTTCATTCAGGCACTCCACAAATACAATAACCACCCTCATTGTTTTAGTGGTTCCCACATTTTGTCCTCTTACTTGTGCTCTTTGCTTGTAGAAAAGCAATCACCTTAGCGGCCAGAAGGCTCCATCCAGATCCTTTCCTTACGAAAGTCCTTTCATCTCTTTCCTGGCTTCCCAGGGGTAACAGAAGGGCAAACTTGATGCTTGCAGTGCTGAGCAAGCGGAATTGGGTCAGATTCCTTGTCAGTGAACACCACAGAAGCAGGAGCTTTCTAAAGCATTGTTGCTCTGTCTTGAGGTGTTCAAAATGTTTAGATTCAGAGAGGGGAAATGGATGTTGAATCCTGTGTGGGAGAACCATATTCCCTTAGAAGGATTTGGGATTCTTCACTGAGCTGCATTTTGCACAGAAAATAATAATTGGGTGAGTTTCCTGGTCCCAGAAATTTATCTTAATGCAGTATGTGTTGCTGAAGTGTTTGAGACTTTCTAGCAGGGAGAACGGAAAAACAGCATTAGGATTCAGGTTTATCCTTGTGACAGCCACCAAATCAAGCTACTTTTGAGATAAGACTGTGGATTTGCTCTGAAATTACTTCATTTTGCCTACAGGTGTTGCAGCACTTGATTTCAAAATACTGGTCTGATGTAAGGCCTCTGCCACAAGTAAACATGTCAGCACAAGCCAAAATTAATATGACATTCATAATTCCACTTTCTCTTGTCATACAGTGTTGAATTCATGCAGGTATGTCTTCACATTTCTTTTCTATGCCAGGCTATGAAATTAAATCTGAATGCGAAGAAAGGAACCTTGTAGGCATGTTCAATTTTGGCTCTGCCATAAGGACTCCAAGGTGCCTGGGTGAGCACCAGGGCCTGTTGTGGTACCCTCACCCCATTCCCCTGGGCTTGCTGCACAGGGCTGGTATGCCCAGGGCATGAGGGCTAGAGGAGCTGCCTGCTCGCACGCCGTTTTTAGGGCAGGAGGGGTGCAGCAGCTCTTTGGTGCTGATAGCTGTACAATGAAGGGGCACTATGCTCTTGCTGGCACTGGTGTCACTTTGTACAAGGTCCTTCTACGGTGGCTTGCTGCTCACCCTGCTTTGCTGCTGCCACCTTGCTGTTTGTTGCAGATACCATCAGTGCAGATGTGTGAAGGAGAGGCTGGAGAAATGGTGCCATACCTGAAATGTGACTAATATTTCCATTAACTGTACAGCATTTGAGACTTCTGGTGCTCATTATTTTCTTGTCTGATTTTTTTTTCCTTTTTTTTTTTTTTTTTTTTTTCTTCTAGGTCTCTGTATCCCATATTTACACCTCAGTGGGCTGAGAGATACCATTGCCATCTGTCTTTATTTTTCTAACCCCCCCTGTTTGGACACCACAGTGTGGAGACTACAGGGAATGCATAATACAGGCTCGCCAATTTCATTATCCTTTCCCTCTACAAACATCCACATTACTCATTGCCCCGCTCTTCGCATGGGATGAAATACTGGCATTTTAACAGTGCTTTGGGAAGAGCTGTGTCTCCAGTATGCCCAGCACACCGCCCTCTTTTGAAGCCAAAATAGAGGATAAGGCCAGGAAGGCTGTATTACTGCAGTTTAGAGCTGTCCTTGAGGAGGTTTTTATTTGCCAAGCCCTAAGTTTGAAGTCAAACCCATCGGATGCTCTGCATCCTCTGTAACCTCTGTAAGCACATCAGAGCCAGGGCAACTACAGTAACTGGACACTGAAACAAATATCTCTCTGCTGTCCATCCCCCTCAATGAAACAGCACGATGCTACAGAAGCTGTGGCATTGTTCCTTGCAGAAGTCACAGGGATCACTACAGCTTGATAGCCTCTTTTGATGCTGGGAATGTTTTGGAAGAAAACAGATAGAAAACAGCAGTGAGAATTTGAGCAGACAAAAGTTGTCTCTGCCAGATAGTGAATGCTGGGATAAAAAGATCAGAGTTTCAAGCAAGCATTAAATACTGCTCTGGAAGGTTTTGGAATATACAAATGGGTGAGGCAATGTCACAACCGTTTAAATTTCTGGAAAATTTCTTTTTCTTTGAGATGAGTAGAAAGCAGTGTTAGAGAGAGGGTAAGCAAAAGCCCGCAGAATAAGGAATTGAAAAAAGGAAAAAGAGGTGCTTTTAGCAAAGGCAGTGACACAGCAGAATTGAAATATATGCACAATTTGTTTGGCCTTTTATTTGTGATTGGATAATTGGGAAAACATAACAAGAGCCTGGGCCAAGCCTGTGAGAAGACACCTTGAAAGTCTCCATGGCAGGAGCCATGGATTTCAGCAAAGGTGGAATTTTTATTTTTTGTGAAGGGGGAAGTAGGGGCTTTATCATCCTGGCAATGGATGCAATGATCTCTCCATAAGTTTCCCAGTGAACAGATCCCCAGGACAGTCTTGTCAGCAAGTACCAGTGACTGCTTTTCCCTCTCAGTCAGAGCACGGTGGCATTGCTTTTGAGGATTTGTACATCTTTTCCCTAACAGGAGCAGGGTGCTGAGAGCAGATTTGGTAGTTCTGGGCAGGGGTGCAGAGAGAGCACCAGAGGGCGAAGGTTTCATGGCAGGTGATTTCTGTGTGCTGCCTGCATGTGGCTAGAGTGAGGGTCATGCCAGGAAAGGACCTAAAAGGTGCCCCTGTGGCCCCACTTCTGCCACAGCTGAGGGCTCCCAGTTTCTGCAGTGCCAAGGAAAGCCCTGCCTGGCTTTGGACGTCTTCATCTGGTACACAACACCTGGCAAACGAAGTTTCAACCCATGAACTGCCTGTTAAGCAGTTTTAGGACACCAAACCTTGGCCATTTTCATGGCCACATCTGACAGCCTGCATATAGCTCCCACTTTGTTATACAATCTGCAGGTGAGAATTTTCAAAACCTTTGGCAGGAAACTTAGCTGAGTGTGCAGCATTTGTTAAAGTGAGTGTTTTGAAAGTCTCTGTGTAAGTAAGATCGATTTCTTCCATGTACAAGAAAAGCTGAAGATTGACCATGGTGACAATAATGTTGCACTAGCAACAGCACTCAGGCCTCCTGCAAAACCAAAACTGCAGTATGGATGTGCTGTGCACTGGCCTGGTTGCAAGGTGTTTTCTGCCTTCCCACTGCCAGGAGGAAGGGAAGCATCCCGCTAGTGACCTCTTGGTGTCCCTGTGAGCACTGCTAAGGGGTAGTACCAGAACTATTAGTTTTGAAAGCTTCAGTTCATTCTCCTGCAGAGTTTATGATGTGAATAAAGCCAGAAATACAAAACACCTCATCAGGAGAGCACAGCAAAGAGTGCAGGAAGCAGAGGCAGGGTGAAAATGGACCTCAGTAGGGGACTATGTTGTCATTCCTCAGAAATGATGAACCAGTCATGCTCTCCCTCCTGCGAGGAGGTGGCACAATGGGTAAGATGGATATACATGCTTTTAAACACTTCCCCCCAACCCCCTCCTGTTGTTATTATTCATTTCCTCTGCTAAGTTAGAAATAATTACTTCAGACATACCATTAGTCATTTTATGACTGGCTTATAAAAGAAAGAAAGAAATGCAAGCTCCAAATGAGGACTGGTAGGTGCCTATGACAAATACAGATAAAGAAACAACAAGTATTTTTAGCAGAAAATTAAGAAAGAAGGACCAATGGCAAAGAAAAATGCCATCATGGACACGGACAAAGCAGTGAGACACAAATGTCCAGGCAGTCAGCAGTACTCTAAAGAAGTCAAATTTATGCTACTATGAGTGTTCATTTAGTTTACACCTTACCCGTTGCAGACATCATTCCCAATTGTAGCGTAGATAACTATGGCTGGATTGTCCAACAGCTGGTTTCTGGCCAAACTAAAAGATAAATATGGAGATATGTTAATGGAGAAATACACTCTCAGTGTGAATCACACACCATGTTTGTGTGAGATCACATTTGGAAGTATTCTGCTTGGATCTGGCCAATACCCAAATGACTTCTATATGTTTGAGAGGGTTTTTTTTTTCCCCCCGTTTTTTTGTTGGTTTTTTTTTTTTTGGGTGGGTTTTTTCACTCTAGTTTTGTATTTTACTAAAGTGACTTAAATGAAGTTATTTTCACTTCTCCCTTTTGCTGCTCATGGACTTGTCTTTTTCACTGTTTTTCCTGCTGGCTTTCCATTTTCTTTGTGTTATTCAGAAGCCAAATCAAATAGTTTCACTTTGGGGCAAAGATATGAATCAAGATGGGAATTTTTTAATCATAGATGGGAGAGGAAGACTAGGTTTGGCTGACAACTAAATCTATGTGTAGAATTCAACTCAAGTTTAAATCAGGATGTGGTTTGAATCTCAGTGCTAGAGGGCAAGGATTCTTCTTTTTCAGGACAAGAGAAAAATAAATTCTTTAGGACACAAACTATATCAGTGTCAAGCAAACTAAATCAAACCCAGCTGACCCACAACCCACCCAAATTCATGTGAAAAGGAGAGTTGCAGCCTCTCACTACTCAGTAGCTACTCAGTTATATCCATGTGGAAATAACAGTGGGCCTGCCCATGTCTATCTACATTGGTACACGCAGTTAAGGGGACGCAACACACAGATTTATGGAAAGGCTTAGTCCCTCCCCTAAAATCCCTGGAAATGCTCCACTGGCTTAACAGAGCCAAGTTCAAGGCCCTGGAGATGATGATATCCACACTTAAACCCAGTTTTCTTCTGTTTATTAATGTTTATACTAGAGAAGAAAGAGCCAGCACTTCAGAGCATACTGGTCAAGGGAAGCAGTGCTTTTAGAACACTCATGGATAATATAATCCCCACAGTGATTTGCTCATTTCTGTCAAAGAGGTATAACTCCATCAGTGCTCCTGTACCTCAAGTTAGCTCTTGAATCCTCTTAAGCACTCACCTTTTTATTAAAGAGAGGAGGTTTCCTGAAGAACCACCTGATCACACAAAAGGGGAACAAGAGAAATAGTACAACATTGTTAGAGTGAATGCAAAACCATACTACATTGCATATTTCCAAGAATGTAGAAGCACTAAAAGTAAAAATGGAGCAACAAGTCATCTCTGTAACCTTTTTAGTTGTTGGCACTAAGAAGGAAAGATATATCCAGGGACCTGCTGCTTTCTTATCTGAATTGCACACTTCAGCCTGTAGAAAATCAAATACTTTTAAGTTCAGGGTTGTTTGGATCTGGCTTTTAATCCAGATCTGGCAGCTTCTTCCCATCTGTTGAACATAGTAGTCTCCTGTAAACCAGCCAACCTGACTTGTCAACAGTCGATCTATTTTAACGTTCCCTATAAATTGCAAAGGGAACTGTTCTCACTCTTTTGAGAGAGTAAGTGTCTCACAGCTATACCACATTGGGACTGATTCAGGTCCTAAACATAGGCACCAAGTGCCATTTTTGACATCCCAGAGTATCCAAGACACCTGCAGCAGGGCTGGCAGATACATCACAAGATGCATGAGAAATTGTGCGCTTCTGGAGAGGCAGCTGGAGGTGGGAAAGATACCATAAAGCACCTTAAACAGCTGTAGACACCAGTGTTTGGGCTCCTGCAAGGCTCTCCCCACAAGTGTCAGGAAAAGTAACATTAGACCAGCTGCACTCCTCCCAAGAGGCTCTGCATTTCAATAGCAATTGACCCAAAGGGTTGGATGAAAATCTTTCCTCCTTGAGGAAAGGAGCTGGCTACACCTAAACATCTGTGAGCGTCTGTAATATTTCATTTAGGTTTTGAATGAGAAAAGCATTCTCATTTAGCAAAGCTTTTGTGCATTAAACTTATTAGCAGGTCTTTAAAGGCTATGCATATTCAACCCAACCACCTCCTGGAGTACTCCATCACCTGGAGTACAAGAGGGATAGCAAATAAGGAGCCAAAAAAGAATTTATGCTTTGGTCAAGATGAGACTAGGTCTGTGATTGCAAGAAGCTCACCTCATAGCAAGGTACAGAAACATAAACTTCAGAGAAACAGATCCCACAGGTTGTACTTGGTCTTATTTTTCAGTATTTGCACTCTCTCCTCTTTTTTCATTCCTTCTCCTCTTTTGTTATCCTCCTCCTATTCTCAGCTCAACGCTTCCCTGATCTCTGTCTCTTCTCTTTTCTGCATTGTGCTTCTGAAGCTTGCTTTGAGGAGTAAATCCTGCCCTGCCTGCAGCTCTTGAGGGGAAACTTGTGGACAGAACATCATTAAATCCCTGCTGGATTGGTATGGGGGAAGAGATCTAAGATATAAACCCCTAAGGTAGCAATAATACACTTTGCATTTTAATAGTGATGACTTTGTTATTATCACTCACAGTGATGCCAGCTGCATATATCAAGGAATCCTTTATGTTTTAAATAATCCAGTTCTTCCAAGCTGAAAATGAATGTATCAATCTGCTGCTTCTCTCCTGGGGGTTGCTGATCCATTCAAAAATCCAGCCTTTCTATTGAGAGGCTCTTTTCAGCAGAGTAAGAGCCCCACAAAAACCTCAGAAATTATGGCTTGGAACATAACTACAAAAGTTTTTTTTTTTTTTTTCTGTTTAATAGCCATTCTTTCAGTTAGAGCTCAACACCCACTGTTTAAGCCATTTTGTCACGAGGCTCCCTGGACTGTGGCTTTGGTTTCAGCATAAATAAACTAGTGGGACCTCTAGAAATTAAAATGTATTTACAAAAAAGCAAGAAGCTGTTCTTGGATATGTATTACCTCCACAAGCATAGGTAGTTATAAGCAGCTCAGTGGAAAGCATTAGCACAGTTACAAATCAAAACATCAAGAAAATGAACGGGTATTTTAGAAAGGAGTTTTTATGGGTAATTTGAGTCTTCAAGGAAGCTTTTGCAATGCAGAATGGAATCTACGAAGAAAACATTCAAGAGAGAAAAGGAGATGAAGCAGAACAGTTACCCTTACACTGTTCAATGCCCTGGAATCTACTCCTGGATCTTTCCTGCCTCTCTCTCTCTGTTACTTTCCAAATATTCTCAGACCGATGAGATTTTTTTTTAGTTTGAGAAATCAAGGTTAGGTTTGCTTCCAGTTGCGAGGGAAGGGTCCACCACCTCCAGAGGATAATGGGATTTTTTTAAGAAAGGGAAGGCAGAAATCCTGTTAGCATGGAGGCTGGGGAAGCCTTTCTCCATGGTGAAGATGCATGTCCTGAGAAGAGCAGTGGGGGAATGTCCCTTTGTGCTGAGTCTGACACAGTGCTGGTGCTTTTGTAGGGGAGCTGGACAGGAATATTGTTCTTGGTGCCTGGCTTGGCTTGCCATCCCTGGGCTCTAGCTCTTGGCTGCATATCTCCTCCACCAGATCAGCATCCTTTCCTTGCACACATGTGGGGCTGTGAAGCACCATTTCCAGAGGAAGGTTTAGTTGTCCTGGCTGGGGTTAGGTCAGGCTGTTCAGCTGTTTGCTTTATTGACACTGAGGGTAGCTTTTTAAATCCTCCCATTCTGGGAAACTATTACACCAAATGAGGCAATAAAACTGAACCTTTACAATGTAGTGTCAGTGTGATGATTTAGAGGAGATATTCTGAGATTTTTCTCTTACTGGTAATTTTTCCCTTTTTAAATTCACTTCTTAATTTTCTGCAGAGTCTTTTGCTCTGACACATGCTGACCTCTTTTTATATCCTGCAGGTGCCTGTAGTGTAAGTGGAAAAGGATAATGTGGAGAGAAAAACGAATGATGAACACAGTGAGAGATTATAAAAAAATCTACAAGGGAATTGGGAAAAGGAAGCACATGAAAAACTACTGCCATTAATGTAAAAAGAGCAGAACAAGATAATTAGGGTATCAGGTACTGAGGCAAATTGGATGTAAATGAGAAGAACTGTTGGCCTAGTCATCCCTGACCACCTCGTTTGGCCCTTTTTTAAATTCTGTCTCACCAGAAAGCCCACCTGGAGGACTGCAATGGTGGGAGCCACTAACTCTAATGCCCTGCAACTTACAGGCAAGAAAGTCAGAAGCACCTGACTGATGACACCAAAGACATTGCAAAACACTTTCACAGAAGACTCAAAGCCTCAGGAGCACCATGTGTGCCACAGGAAGGAGCAAGGCCTATGAGAGGCATTGCTAGTGTCATTGGTGCTGGCACCAGAATGCAATTTTTAAGGGGGAAATGCCCACCTGAGCCTGGAAGTGATCCCTGCATCATGATACCTGTCTGTGCAACTTCTTCTGCCTGGAAAGATCACAGACTCACAGAATCACAGAATTTTTAGGGTTGAAAGCGACTTCTGGAGATCGTCTGGTCCAACCCCCCTGCCAAGGCAGGGTCACCTCAAGCAGGTGACACAGGAACACATCCAGGTGGGTTTGGAATCTCTCCAGAGAGAGAGAATCCACACCCTCCCTGGGCAGCTGTTCAGTGCTCTGCCACCCTCAGTGTACAGAAGTTCCTCCCTGTCTTGAGGTGAAACTTCTTGAATATAGCCATCTTATAGCCATTGCTCCTCATCCTGTTGCTGAGCACCACTAAAAGATTCCAGCACTGTCCTCTTGGCATCTGCCTTAGAGATATTTACGTGTATCTGTTTGTTGGAGGTGGAGGGCTGGGGCAGATCCTTTCTGATCCAAGTTTTTTTCAGGAAATTCCAACCATTTAATAAGTTTCTAAGTAGTTCTAGAGACAGCAGGGCTCCTCATTTGTAACCAGCATGAATCATCTGCTGGAAAGGAAGAACATCCCGTATAGCCAAATTATCTATCCAAGGAAAATAAATTTTCCCAAGCTTCTGCAGCCAGATTTCTGAAGCATGAAAATTAATTAAATACAATAGAAACAAAAAGGCATAATCACAGCATAATCAAGTGTCTTTTAAGCCTGCTGTTAGGGACATCAGCTAATCCAAGACACAAAAGCTAACATCATAAACCTCAATTTATAAGGAAGCTACTGTCATCCCTTCATACAACCCCTCTGACAACTCAGGATTTCTTGTTTGCCTTCATTCCTCTGGTTTAAGATTTTCTCTCCTTGATAGCTTTTTTTTTTTTTTTTTTTTAAAAAATTTCCTGCCAAACAGAGGTAAGTTTAATGAAAACCCATGTTCTTGTACCAGAACTATCCTTCAGTTTAAACCATTCTTCCCCCTCTGTGATGTTTATGCCTCAAAGGAATTCAAAATGGTAATACCTTTTAATTAATGCTTTACTCAAATGTCAATGTGTTCTATTATCCCTTCAGAAGTCTCCATTGCCCTAATCCTCCCCAAAACCTTTCCCTCTGTCTCCATCAAGGTCAGTCCTCCTTAGATAAATGGGACCAAAATCTGAGGTCTTATCAGGACTTGTATGAGGAAGGACTGTCTCCCTGTCTCTAGACAAAATGCCACGCCTGATGCACCTTGCAACCTTCTTATTCTCTTTCCTCTTTTACGCTGCAGTCTTGATGGTTTCTTGGAATTTCTCTTTGCACCCCAATGGCCCTGCCCCTCCACCACCTCTGGCTGATGGCCCACTAGTTTACAGAGAAGTCTCATCATTACTTCTGTCATGCATGTTTTGTACAATTTTGCAGCATGTATTTGCTGCAATTCCTGCTCCTGCTGTTCCCAAGCTCATCTAAATTATTCCTGTGTAAGGATATGCCCCACTCCAGGATGGCTAATTTAGCATCATTCACAGAAGCCGTCAAGCATGGACCTTGGTCTTTGCTCTAAGGTCACCACTCCAAATATTAAGGAGCATCAGCCTCAGGAGAGATGCAGGAGGGACACAGCTTCACTCTCAAACCCACTGCTCTTCCCTGCTTAGCTGCTTCTCTACCCACTTCTTATTTCTTGTGTTAATCTTCCTCTTCTTCGCTGCACACTGGGGTACCATGCAAGACACTTTTCCTTAATTCTAGGTAGGTCAGGCCTCCTGCATATTTATATGCATATTATATATATATATATATATATATATATAAAGCTGATGTTCCCCAGTCCCACAAAATAAATTAATCAGAACCAACAGTGTTCAGTTTTGTTTATGTCTTTGATTACTTATTAAAATTCTGTTCTGAGAGCACATTACAGTGCCAGTACCACTGGGTTAAGTAAGTGCTGAGTCAAGTAGGTGCTGTTCTTTATTCTTCCACAAGAAATGCATGCAACTAAGAAGGGGCTTTTCTTTGTTCCTGACAGATGTTCATTAATGCAGCATCAATTGTCACCATTAGTAATGTCAAAAATAATAATAATAAAAGAAGTTTAAAGAAGTCACCATACCATTCTGGGAAATGTTCTGCAAGTCTCTGTGATTACAGCGATTTCTCTTGCGTAAACGTAGATAGAGAGAGTCTGTCCACCCTCTGAAATAAATTGAGAAAATGCAAACTGCTGAAGTCATATGATAATGATGAAAACACAGCTGATATTAAAAACGAAGTATGTTCTTGTGTCTGAAAAATTCAATACCCCAGTTATGTATATGCTTCTATTTCACCATCTCTCTCTTTTTGTGGCCATAAATCTTTTTAATCTTGAACAGAGTGGCCTAAAATAAAGCAAAGATAACTGTTCAGAAACTATAAACTGATGAAGAGTTTCTCTGACATTGTTCCATCCAGGAACAATGCTTTTATCCTGGTCTTTCAGATAAGGCATTTAAAAACCTTTTTGTTATACATCATTTATCAAAACAATTCTGTTGGTTGTTCACAAATTGACTTTTCAATTGGCTGTTATGGAACAGTAAGTAAAAGAGAAGAAATATTGGCAGGGCAATCATTTCCCAACATCATAAATCTTGGACAGATTAATCTGAAAACAGGTTACACTTGACTGTTATAAGTTCTCTCCTTTATTTTTCACTGTTGAGAAAAATGAAAAAGAAAAAAAAAAACCACAAAAAACAAATGCAAAGGATAACAGCCCAAAGGGTGATGAAAAGATCAAGCTCCCAGCCATCAGTACGTACTCATTTCTATCTGGGCTGCAGCTGTTTGTTTGTTTGTTATTATTATTTTTTTTTTTTTTCCTTTCAGGAGTGGAAGAGATTAAAAACTGAACACTGGACCAAGGTTTATCACTGACAACTTCAGGGGCAGTTCTAAGCTCTGATCACTTGTGAGCTTCAGATTCTTTGGAGCCCAGACAAGTAGTGTGTGCTGAGAGACTGGACACTAACAGATTGTTAAATGTCAGTTTTGCTGTGGCTCTGATAGAGAAGGCTGCATGGATCTTTCCTGTTGGCTTGTCAAGTGGCAAACTGCCTTAAAGCAGATACTGTGGGAATGTAGCTGAGGCTGAGAGCCTGGATTTTGCACAGGGAGAAAAAAAAGGAAAAAAAAAGTCCAAGTATATGGTGCAACAGATATTTTTCCTGGGGGGAAAAAATGTTATTCTGCCAACTTTTTAATTCTGCTGCTAGAAAGCCTATTCGGGCTTGACCCGTGCTTGGTTTGGCATTCAGCTGTGTTCCTGACTTATCCTAGACATAAAAAATAAAAATGATCTGAAACTTAGGTCAGACCAGGCACTGGTTGATTATTGTATCCTACAGCTTTTGCAGGGTTCAAAGGCCTTTTAATGCTGGCCAGAGAGATGATTAATAAAAAGTTTGGTTGGTTTTTATTTATTTATTTCTTTTTTCTTAAATTTCGCGGTTACAACTGCAGGTATTTCAAGGTGTTTTGGACTTTATTTTCCTTCCCTTCTGGCAGGGAGTTTATTTTTTTCCATCTATGCCTGCAACCTTCCCCATCCACATGAGCCAAACTAACACAGCAAATTAGGTCACAGACTCTCAAATTCTCCTTTTGCTATTTCCCTCTAAATGTGTTAAAAAAAACCCCAAAAAAACAACATGTGGGAGGAGAAGAAGAAAGATTTCCCCCCAGTAGGGAACACTATGAAATAACCATGGGGATACCCTTTATTCCATGTTTTTATCAGCAAAAAGGAAACATGAGGAAGAGAGGAAGATTAAAAAAAAAACAAACAAAAACCCATCAAAAAAGAGAAAAGCTGATTTTTGTTACTTTCAGCAATGCTTTCCTTCTCCTGAATTTTGTAAAAAAAATTGTAAAAAAAATAGTTTATCTTTTATTTCTTTGGGGTTTTTCTCCTTCTAAATTACAGTTTGAGTGGTTCTAAAACCAACACCCTGAATTTCAGGAAGACTTGCTTATATATTTAAAATATCTTTTAAAACCCAAGATCCAGGGTTGATCTTGGTTTTAGAAAGAGCAGATGCAGATCTGAATAGTATTTTTCTCTTTCCTTTCAAGAAGTTTTGGGTTTTTTTCCTTGCTGTGCTCTGAGAGATCTAGAGACTTGCTATGGCTTGGCCACCCTCTCTGTTGGCTTACCCGATGGTGGAATTGAGAAATCCAGTGATCTCTGAGAACTGGGGCCAGTCAAACTCATCACTGAAAGCCATGGGGAGATTAGCGAATGATTTCTGAAAGAGAAATTTTAAAATCAACCCAGTTTCACCCTCACAGACATAAAATCCCCTTAGCAAATGTGAGCACTTCTTAGCCAGGGCATTAGCCAGACAACAGCAATTGTTACTGCCAGTAGTAGTGGTACTTATGTATGCATATACTTAAAAAGTTGGCTTTTATAAGACAGGCATATGAAGAGATGGAGGAAGGAAAAGCAGGGGAGATATCTGAATTGCAGCTCTTGGCACCCTTTTTTCCTGAAAAAACCCAAAACTCCTGAAAGAGTCCAAAACTCCTCCTTACGTGAGCAGGTACTGCCAGTGCAGACCCCCAAGGCAGCAGCTGATTGCTCCAGCACCCGCCCTGCCCAAAGGTGCATCAGCCTTGGGCACAGGAAGAGATGACAGCGTGATGTCCCCAGGGAATATGGCAAAGGCATAATGTCACATTCTCTCAAAGCTCCCCTGCCCTCTACAGCAGGATGAGCTGAGAACAGCCAATCCCCTGAAAACCTCTGCCTGGTCCTCACTAAATTTTGGGGCTGGCACCAAAGCAACAGGGTCAGAAAGACCTCTGAGCATGGCAGGGACAAGGGAGAAAAACATAACCTGACATAACCTTCCTGTGCAAATACATTCTTCCTTTACCCTACTCTATTTTGCTAATGTTGGTCCCTAATGCTTTTTTACAGCAGCCCTGTGAAAGCCTCTCTACAGATGCAAGCCATGTTGCACATTCAAAACACAATGCCCTGTTTGTTCCCATTTTGTTTTCTGAAAGTCCCAGAAATCATGAAAGGTTAGGAAAATAGCCTTGATAAATTGTGCCACCTCAGAAGGACAGAACATGGAGTAAATTTCCAGCTTCTCCTAGTCTGGGGTACACTTGCAAAGACAAATGTATAAATCCAGTGTGCTCATAAAGAGGAAAACTGCTGATGAAAAAGGTAATAACCAAAAGAAGGTCAAAACATAAAATCAGAGAACCTACAGGCTGGTTTAATCCATATAATTTATTAGCTTCATTTTCTCTTGAAGCAATTGTGGGGTTTCCTTCAGACCTCACTGCTATAAACAACAAGCAGGCGGGTAATTCTTTATCCAGGAGAGTGAGAGTAACTGAGGAGCTAGAGTACAGCTAAATCTTGTGCTGCCCACCAAGTCCTAATTCCAAAAAAATTATTGTTTAGGTGAATGGGAGCTATACTTGAGGATATGGGTTAAGTTTATGTCTAAGGATTTTGACTGTAAGGGGATGGAGGGAGATGCAGGGAAAAGGGAAGAAAGGCAAGTAAATGGGGAGTTGTGGCAGACAGAAAATCCTGAAGCCATGCTCTGAGCAGTCTAGTGCACAGCAGATGCCAGTTTAAAGCATGTAACAGCACATTTGACCCACTTACAGTACATTGCATTAGTTACCAAGGTGAAAAGAGGCCTGTTTTAATTATCTTTCAGTTTGTTTTCTCTTTCTCACATACATATTGTCCTTGTATGTATGTGTACATATATATAAAAATTTTTAAAAAATCATTTTTTAGGGCTGCAGGGCAACTTCAAATTTGCCTTCAAATCTGTTAGTTTTGTGTGCAAACAAGCACTTATTCCAAGGGCATAGCTATGAGCAGAAGTGGAGGGATACAGCACAGCTTGGCCATTTGCAATAATTTCCTCCTTGCAGGTTTGCATTAGAGGTGAGAGAAACAGTCACCTAGGACAGAAAAAACCCCTGCAGATATGATCTCTTATAAGTGACACATATATTAGAGGATAAAAGAGATAAGAATTATTGAATACTTTTTAAACAGATCGTTTTATATACAATTCTCTCATTATTTACCATTGGCACTCCAAAACAATATCTTCATTGGACAAGTCCCAATAATTTTTAACTGTTTGGGTTTTTTTTTCCCTGCAAACTTGGCTTAAATATGAATTTTCCAGAACCTAATTGAGTTGCAAATTGATTTGAAGAGGAACGTTTGAGCCCAAAATTATAGTTGCATTTGAAAACTGGATATGCATTTAGCACTGACACTGTTCCAACAAAGCACTTAAGGGCCAGACTTTTTGAAGATATTTCAGGTCCAAAGGGTGAAGATGAGTAGTTAATGGAAAATTCGGAAGAATGCTGAACCTTAAACTCTGCATTGATGTAGTTTGGAAAGTACAGCCTAACAGACTGTGTTGCTTAGTCTCAGATGCAAATGTGTCCCACTCTAGAGGTGCAACTGTGTTGACTTTTAGCATAAAACTCTCTTGAGCACAGCCTTGTTTAAATACCATTCTCTAGACTATTCTGGCTGAGAAACCTACTTCAGCCCACGTGCCAGATTTTAGCAGAGAATGAGTAGAAAATTATTCCAGCCTAGCTTCAAATGCCATATTTTAGCATCAAATGCTTTAGATAGGTCTCATTCCAGTGAACAACCTCTTCTCCTAGATGTGTCCTGCCTTGAAGCATGGGACAGCCAAAGCCATGGCTGATGCTAAACGCACACGTGCCAAGCTGTGCTTAAATGGAAGAAGGCTCAGGGTTGCTGTGGCAAGAGATTTTCAAAATCAGAATACAAAAGGGCACTGGAAATCTAACACTCATATAAGCCTTTCCATCCTGGAAATCTTGAAATCATTGAGGTATACCTTAATTTGAAGGAAAATTGGGTGTTTCTTTTTTATAATTATTTTAATGCCATTCAAATCCTGGTGAGAGCATTAAGTACCACAGACAACTTTGTTATTCTAAGTATACAAATACGCAAACCTTAAACTCTTGAGAAAAGCACAGCCTATCTTTTTGAAAAGCAAAAATTGCATTTCTGATCTGTAAAGCTGCAAGGGACAGAGGTTTGAAATTAGCAAAACTGTTAGCTTATTTCCCACAAAATGAAATGCCTTAGTCATGACAATACAAGCTTGGAGAAACCTGCCTGCATTTCACTGGATCTAGAGGAATGATAGATATTTTTTTTAGAAAGAATTTCACACATCAAACTCCTGGGTTTTTTCCTAGTGGTACAGAAAAAAAAAAAAAAAGAAGTCAGTGGGATAAGTGTTTAGAACATCCTGAATCCACATTTAGAGAAATGATGAATTCTGCTAATAGGAAATAAATAATATGAAACAGTTACTTTAATGATATCTGAGAACCCCCTGTGTTTGTGGGCAACTAGGTATCTACTGGACTATGGATAAATGTAGGCTTTATTTTTCTTTTTATTCAGCAACAAAATAGAGATCCAGCAGTTTTAAATTGCATCTTTCCAGAAAGGGTATTATTTCCATCACATTTATAAATATACTGCTTATACCTCAAAATAAAAAGCTCTCTAAAATGAGATATGAAAGTTGTTTCTATTCCAGCATACAACAGAAAAATGCTGCAATTAGTAGCTATTTGGAAGTCAATAGTAAGCAGATGGACAGAGCAGCAGGAGCACAATATCCATCACTAGACATACTAGTGTTTTCAACATTAGCTCTCTGCAAAAAACATCTACCTCAAAAAACTCTCACCTCAAAAAACCCCTCAGTACTTCTTCTGCTTTGCTAAACCTCGCAGAATGCATGTCTACTGCCTTACACTTCATTTTTAGCGTCCAGATTTTCAGGTTAAAGGGATGAACATTCAGCTCAATTCTTGCTGAAACTCTAAAAGAAAAGTTTGGCAAACCCAAGAGCTGTTGATAACCAGAAAGCCAAAATAAAGTTGACTTGACCCCTTCTTAGAGATGTATCATTCTCTTTGTGTAAGGTACCCATGGCTTCCCCTATATAGGAAAGAGTGGAGGTTTTTTAGTTGTTTTGTTTGTTTGATTGTTTCAACGGGAGAAATAGCTGCAGTTTTCAAAGATGTTTCCACATCATAATGGGTGCTTCCCACAATGAATAATGCCTCCATGTGCTCTTTCTGGGAAGAACATACTCTGAGAGGGATGGTAACTGTATGTGTGACTGACTCCTAGGTAAAGGCTTTGGAAATAGCACTGGAAAACAAGAGTGCCCCCTCTGATATTTAGCATGACAGAGGACTTGATATGGGGAAAGTGAATGGTGCAACTTGATGTGCCCCATACAACATGAGACACATAACAGAAGCAGTCCTCCTGCACCAAATTACACTGGGGGTTATGACCCTTACAGGGCAAAGCTAAGAGGGCAGTATGTTCCTAATTAGACCAGGAAATCCAAAATCCAATATACAGCATCTTCCCAACAATGCTCTTCAAGTCAATGGCATGGACATACGAATTTCAAAGCTGTTCAACCCAAATACTTGTCTTGTCACCCCTGTGCTAAATATCCAGCTACTCAGACAACATGCTGAGTGCATTTTTCACTCACATTCTCTTTTCTTTCCATACTCATCATAGCCTCTCCTTTGCAAGGTAGACTACATGCAGCAAAATCAGGGAAAACAACCATTCTGCAGAGCCTCTTAATGAAATACTCAGCATCTCTCCTAAAAAAATTATTTCCTCACTTAATTAGCTTTAAATCTGGAATTAACAGCTGCCACTGATGTGGTACTGATTAACAGATGGGCCCAAAGCATTGTAACCAAGTGTAAATTTTACTTTACACCTGTATATGTAAATACATAAAAGGATAAATATAAATAAGAAATATGTGAAATATAGATATATAGAAATATAGAATATAGAAAGCATATAAAATGAATATGTAAAATATAGAAAAATATTAAAGTAGTGAAATAATACACAGAATACATCTAAATTAACAGGCACACAACTTTTTCTGGAAAAATCTGGACAGGGCAGGGACAAGGAAGCACTATTGGAAATTCCATGTGGAGGTTTGAGATTCTGTTGAAATGAAAATTAAAGCTTTGAGCTTACTCTAGTATTGACTGCGGACAAAATCATTTGACAAACTAATATTTTTACGTGTCTTATAGAAGAAATTTTGGCAGAATCAAATCCAGGTGTCTTGAGTTAGAGAGCACAAGGGAACAGCAGGTACACAAAGATGACGCCTTTTCCTCTCCAAGGCCTAACTTCAAATTTTCCAGATTAAAGATGTTTCCTGTAAGATTAGGACATAGACTCTGCACTCTCTCTGGTCACAAAACCATCTCTGAATGTGCTTCAAAATTCTCCTCGAGGGAAGCCTTGCACTGAAAAATCATTGAAGCCAGTTAATTTGTTAACTAAGCCTAGAGAAGAAGGATACTTTCCAGTGGCTTTTAATACAACATGAGAGACAGCAATATTGCACCTTCACAACCTCAAGGCAGTTAAATTGCTGCTGTTGACATCCTCCACAGAGAAAGCAAGACACAAAGGACAAGGAAAAGGAAGAGGCAGTGATAAAGTTTGAACTAGTTCAGAAATGGTATTGCTAGTCCTTTTGTGCTCAGGTGACAGCTTTCACTCTCATGGTGAGCTCCAAATTAAATAACCTTTTACTTTTGCCAGAGTTTAATCACATATAATAGTTTTTATACAACTGAGTTCTCTGTATGTCTGCATTCATATTTAACTGATGTATTTTTGCCAGGTTGGTAGGAAAGCTTGGAAATAGTCCTAGAAATAAACATGTTGTTTCCTATCCCAAACCTCACATATATTTTTTGGGCCTTACAGAGAGTGCACCAATTTCCCCCCCCCCCCCCCCCCCCCCCCCCCCCCCCCCCCCCC